CATGCTTAAATAAAAAATTAGAAAGTTAATTAATAAATTTAGAATAATAACAAATAAAATCTTTTGTATAAGACAAAATAACTTATGTTCTTGTTCTCAATGTTGAGATAAATATCTTCAATTATAGTTAATAAATTCAAAAAACTTTCAAACAACTAGTGATGATTAAATTTAAAAACTTGTACATATTATCAAATCAAACGATGCAAATTTTTTAAGCAACTCTAGTTGCATGGTACACTATACGGTTTGAAGGAAGCATATTTGGTAGCATATCATCTTCATCATATTCAAAACTGACAAGGTAAACTAGTAGTAGGCTTTTCGTGATCGACCTAGAGTTTTTGACCAAAATAATGTTATTGAAAAAAATATTTACCAATCTAATATAGTTTCAAAAATATTTACCAAACTAGTGTTTTTTTTATTTTCTTGTATTTTTTGAGTTTTTCATATTGTTTTTATTTTATTTAAATATCAGTTTTTTTTTTCTTTAATTTCAGTTTTTACTGATTTTTTTAAATATCAGTTTTTTATTTTCTTTATTTCATTTTACTTTTTTTTAAATATATGTTTAACATAATATGGGAAAAAAAACACATAATTTCATGCATTATATCGTCAATTAAAAAAAAAGTAAAACAGTTATGGACTTCAGTAAGAAAAAAAGAACACCTTCTTACTTTCTCGCTACAAGAAATATCGGTATTAGCGGCAACCCTTTTAGCGGCGACACCGGCTATTAGCGGCGACATGTAATTGACGCGTTACATGTCGCCGCTAAAGGTGTCGCCGCTAATGATGCTACATTGTCGATCCGCGTCAAATCAACCATGTCCGTTCGATCTGCTTTTCATCCAACGGTGGGAAATGAGGAAAAAGGGCGCTGTGTTTTCCCTCCAGGGGTGTCGCTGCTAAAACCCTAGCGTCGCCGCTAATACTCGTCGCAGATAACCCCCCCACTGCGTCACTTTTCTTTTCGTTCTGCTTCCTTTCACTCCTCCAACGATTACCGACGACTGCACCTCCGACGACGACCTCGTTTGCGCCACAGGACTCGTCTCCGGCAGCCATTACCGCCGGCCACCAGTGGAGCTCCATTATTACCGGCGACCACACTCATTTCCGGCGACAAAAGTTCGATTTAAGGTCCGATTTCTTCCCTATTTTCTATTCAACTTATGTTTTGGAGTTTTCTTTACTGGTTTTAAGTGTTTAATTTAATGTTTTTTGAACCCTTGTCGGAAAATCTACTTCTGCCGAATCTGTTGCCGGAAAACTGGATTTCTTACCGGAAAATCGCTAAATTACACTAGCACAGGTTCCTTTTCATGACTTTTGAAATTATATATTTGATTTGTATGTTATTTGTATGGTTATTATTTGGAATTTGGAATGAATTGTCGCCGGAATTGTGTTTGTGTGTTATTTGTATGTTTTTGTGTGTTATTTGTATGGTTATTATTTGGAATTAGGTTGCTATAATAGAAAAATAAGTATGATGCTATAATGAATATGTGTAGGAAAATGTTTATATGTATTTGTATGTATAGTGTGTGTATTTATGTATGTAATGTGTGAAAAACAAAGTGTGTATATTACAAAGAGTAATTTTCAAATCAAATTTAATATTTATGTGGTATTTTAGTTTTAAAATTATTCATAATCATAAATTGTTTTGTAAAACTATTAAATTAAATTTTCTATTATTAATTTAGATATTAAATATAGTTATAAAAAATATAGTTATTCATAATCATAAATTGTTTTGTAACTAACTTTTATTCATATTGTATTTCTATATTGTACATCTTTTAATTTTACAGGCTACAAATGAGGTTTACGTGGACGATATTCTTTGTTATGATGGCTGATATTATGGGCCTTGGTCACGGAGGTGATGGAGCTGGGGATCCACCATCTCCAGGAGGCTTTGGTCGCGGGCAACATGAACAGGATGGTAAGTTTTATTATGATATATTTATTAGCTATTTTAATTAATTTATTATAAGTTATCGTGACTAATATTTTTAATTGTATTTTTTCAGTCGAGCTTCCAAAGAAAAGAAGGGGCTTGTCAAAGAATATAGAGCTAGGAAAGTGGATAAGGGCAAACAAGGGAAAGACTGTGGATTTGAATTTTGACAGGGAGATCACATATTCCCCTGTCGGGAAGCCTGCCAATTGGTTCACACATGAAATTGGGAGGTATTTGTGGAACAACGTCCCTTTAAACGTATCTGGTTGGGACAATGTTTCCCCCGCGTTAAGGAATGCGACAGTTGTGCATCTAAAGGTAACTTGAATAATATTTTAAGTTTCGTTGTGATTGTTATTTAATTAACTAACTTTTTTGTATTTGTAGAATAAGTTTGATTTGGATAAGGTTAACTTGGATCCGGAGCGTGCACAATTGTTGCGGAGCATTGATTCTAGTCTTGCAAAAGTTTACAGAGGCCGAAAAAGTAAAGCCCATTCTTATTTTAAGGATATCGGGGGGCCTGCAAATATCCCAATGGCACTAAACAACCCCCCCAACGGTATGTCACCAGAAAATTGGGCGAAGGCAGTCGAACATTTTCAATCGCCCGAATTTTTAAGTCGTTCGGCGTCAAACAAAGAAGTCCGTGCAAAACAACTAGTTGTAAACAGAGGGGGGTCGAGCTCGTACAGTAATGCATGCTTCAAAGAAGTAAGTTATGATATATTTAAATGTTTATTTAAAGTATAATTAATCTATTTTTTTTGTTAAATAGGATATCACTCGAATCGAAGTATTCCGCAAGGCTAATTCCAATCGCCAAGGGGTGTTTTATAGTCCTGCAGTCGAGCAACAATACGTAAGTGGTTAATTTGTATTTTCATATAAGTGTTTATATCGTCAAGGGTATTTAGTAATCTATTTTTATGATGTTTATCATTTTTTGAAAATACAGAATGCTTTACTTCAGGAGATCAATCAACAAACCCAAGCTTCTTCTTCAGCAAGCGGTCTAACGCCAAGTGATACAAGAAAATGTTTTGAAAAAATATTGGGTGTTCGACGCGGACATATTAGAGGCATTGGGCGTAAACCCCCTACCGTTGTGTTTATGTACGATCAAGAACAACCGATGACACAAGAACCACCACAATCACAGGTAATTGTTTGTTTAAGTTGAAAAATATAATGCTATAATGCTATAATGATATGTTGGTAGTTTTTGAAAAATATAATACTATTATGATATATTGGTAATATATTTTGATTTCTTTGTAGATGGAAATGCTGCAAACGATACTGAAGGACCCGACATGTTCTGCGACATTAGAAGAGTGGTTTCGTTCATTGCCACCACCAAATAATGAACGAAATGATGAGAGTGATGGCGAGGAGTAGGAATTTTAGGATTTTATGAAATGTTTGTTTAGAATAATACTTTAATTAGGTTGTATAGACTAATATTTTTGATTGTGGATTAATATTTTATCATTGTTATATTGTTTTTGGTTGTGTATGGGTTAAATATAACTGATTTTATAAAATTGTAGATTTATATTTCATAAAATTGTAACAAAAAAAAATAAAATTAAAAGAGTCTTTTGCAGCGACGCTTTTAGCAGCGACATATAAGTATTAGCAGCGACACGTTTTTAGCAGCGACATATAAGTATTAGTAGCGACGCGTTTTTAGCAGCGACCGTTAAGTATTAGCGGCGACAAGAAGGGCATTAGCGACGAAGCATTAGCGACGACGTATTTGCGGCGACGTGTCGCCGCTAATACTTTTAGCGGCGACAACCTACTCTTTTGCGGCGACGGCTGTCGCCGCTAATACCAGTATTTCTTATAGTGTCTCTTTTGTAAATATAAATCAAAATAATAAATAGAACAAATCATCTTTGTGTACATGAAAATCATCCTCCTTAGTCCTTACTTAAATTACCTACGAGGTAGGTACAGTGAAGAAAAGGGAAAAACATTTTTAAATAGTTTTACTTGTGTATGTTTTTTTTAATACTTATATGAATATTATGTCTAATATGGATTTGTTTATTTTTCCTATTTCAAAAGAAATTGGAAAGGGTAGTTTAGTAATATATTATATTATTTTGATTTTCAGATTTTTGATCAGTTTTTAATACTAAACTGATTTAGTCTTAACCAAAATATAAAGTTCAACATATATGTAAATTTTATAATTTTAGAACGATATATATATATATATATATATATATATATAGATATATAATATATATATATATATATATATCTATATATATTATATATCTATATATATAGCTATAATTTTAAAATTTATAAAGATATTAATATAATATTGAAAGTTTGTAAAATATAAATGAAATTCACCCAAAATCATAAATCGACTAACATAACTTATTAAAAGGTCATCTTATCATTTTTAATATACGCTTAATAAAGATGTTTTGATATTATTTAAAAATGAAACATTGTGTCACTATTAAAAAAGATTTCTAGTGGAACGAGAAAAATCTATTTTTGATGATATTTTTTATATATATATATATATATATATATATATATTTTTTGCGACGTGTGCCAGTAATCAATTATACTAGCACAATTCATTAAAGTATCTTATTTTTGATTGATGATAATGCATGAAATTATGTGTTTTTTATATTATGTTAAACAAATATTAAAAAATAAAAAACTGATATTTTTAAAAAATAAAAGATAGTAAAAAACTAATATTTAAATTCAATAAAAACAACAAGAAAAATTGAAAAATATAAAAAAAAAATGAAAAAAAACACTAAATTTGGTAAATATTTTTAAAATGGTAAATATTGTTTTCAATAATACTATTTTGGTCAAAAACTCTTTGACCCCCTACGCGAGGAGATTTGGTATAGGTTTAATATATCTCGTTTAGATGGTGCGGTTTTATGTATGCATGTATGAAATAATAATAATAATAATAATAATAGAAAAAAGGATAGTTTTTTAATTGACGTTTTATGCCTAATTAAATTACTCACCGTTTGAGAGCTTTGGCATTCGTATCCCCATTTCCCATTGGCTCAGACAGTCCTGTCTTTAGATTTACTCTTGAAGTTGGCTTGTTCAATAAGTTTTCAGCAATTTCCACGAGTTTCACCATGTTCTCTTTGGTCGCAACATCCACTGACGCCTCATTGCCATCTAATGTATCTTCCTGATGTATTTAAGCATATATGTATGAAGTTAATTATATATATAGAATACTTTTAAAGTAATTAGTTATATTAATGAATAGAACTCGAAAAGTTAATTAAGCTTAATTACTTGGATTCGAAAGTAATTTTCTTGGGAATGAACAGCTTGAAAGAACACAGAAAGATGACCATCAACCATATCTCCACTTGCTTGAGTGAACACGTCAATAATTGGGGTGGAACCACTATGAACCAACCAACCTAATACACCCCAATGGGATGCCATCTTTGCGTTGTATTGGTTCGTTATCTTTGTTGCACCCGTTCCTATCGAGATCAAAAGGAAGCGACCATAATCCGTAGGTTTAACAGGGAAGAAATCAGGATGCTTGCTGAACACTTGTTTCGTGACTTGGCTTATTGCAACCAGTGCCTAGAAACAAAATTCCAAATAGTAAGTTTTTTAACATAAAATATCTCATTTATCTGTTACTAGTATTAGACAAATTATGTAATTATATATGTACCGGATTATTAGCAGCGACACCACCATCAACAAGATTAAATTCTTCACTGTTTCGTCCATCTTCATTGTCGTTCTTAAAGTAATATGGAGGAAAATAGGTCGGAGCTGCGGATGTTGAAATGCATATATCTGATAACTGAGCATTGTAGTATGGATTAACTTTCGCCTGTTAACATAACAAAATTGGTTAGCCAAGCCTCGAAAAAGAGTTAATTTGCTGTGGATCATATGACTGCTAGCAAATGGTCGATCTTTGAGTTTTGTTGCTAGAACATGTTAAAATGGTTTTTAATAGGTAGATCGAAACCTCATAAGTTGAGAAAATGAGGGGTTGCAGACGTTGGATGTCAAATGTAGGAATGACTATATTGGTTAAGGTTTCGTTCAAACGAGTGTTTCCCAACTTCTCCTTTATGAGCTTCCGAATATAATTCCCATCGTACTTTGGTCCAATAAGCATTTTCGCACTCTTCATGATGGATCCCCATGCACCCCTATATTAATAGAAATCAATATTAAAAACTCAATTTGGTCATATATGTTGCACCAAAGTTATGGAAATTAAGAGAAGATAAATATGAGTCAAAGGGTTTACAGACCTTTGTTGAGGAAATATTTTAGGGCCATGTTCCATATAGAAAGGTACGATATCTTTGGCTGCATAGAGAGGTCGGTTTGTTTGGTTTGGAGCTGTTAACATGGCTGACACAAGACCACCTGTGCTAGTTCCTGCAACTACATCGAAGTAATCTGCAAGTCTTGCATCTTTTCCATCCAACTCCTACACAATAATAACATAATCCATTAGCCATGCATGCATATGTGAGTGTAATTTAGTACCTGAACTCTAGAAATATTAAACGAAAGAAACGAACTATGATTAAGATCGATCACATGTTTCATTTTTCAGTTTCCAGTAACCTCTATATTTACCTGTAGCTGTGATTCGAGGAAAGCAAGTATAGTGGCTGGAATGATCCCTCTTATACCACCTCCATCGATGCTAAGAATAGTTATAAGTTTTCCATTATTGGGTGATGCGTTTCTCAATCCCTTCTCCATTGATGTAACAAAATGAGCTTGGTTTTGTGTAATAAAAGGTATCTGACGTAAGAAACTTATAAAAAGTATGTGATTTCACTTGAACAATAAAAAGAGTGCGTTTTGAATGGTGTATTAATTCGTAGCAATTTATAGACGTCTAATTTGGATATTGAAGAGTCTGTGCTCATGCCACGTAAAGATTTGCATGGTAGTGTTTAGTTGTGTGAAAAGTCGTATTTTATCGTTTAGCATAACAGTTCAAAGTATTTGGCCCTTACTGACGTAAAAGCCAAGAAAGACGCCAAGCACGTTTGGGTTTGGTTTATTTTAATAGTTTTAGTTAACTAGCATGATTACAACTTCTATTTAATTAATGTAGAAATATTTTTCGGAACGCTTATTTTAAATGTAGATGTTGAGCTGAAATCATAGAAAAAGTTTGAGCTTATGTAACATAAAGGCTAAACGTGTTTTCATGCGTGAGAAGTTGTCCTTTATTTTATTTTTTATTTTTTAACACAATAACTAATTCCACGTTTATAGCCAAACATTGGCCGAGTCCTTTAAAAACATTAGTGGTACATCGGCCATGTTTGGTCTATCTCGTGCATATAATTCTTATCTTGGTTAGTAGTTGCTATTTAAAATTAATTAATCTTTTTGATTTTGGTTGGCAAGATATATATAATATTTTGTTTGAGTTAAATATTAAGGGGCAATTTGCACATTCTTTGGTGTAGAAATTTGTGATAAAAAATAAAAAATTGATATGCTTATCCATACCAATCAACAAGAATGTCTTTTCTTCTTTCTTCTTAAGTTGGTCAATAAACACAAAGAGAGGGAAGGGAAAGTACTGTCGGTCATGGAATGTCGATCAAAGGAAGGGATATGAGTCTAATTTATTCAGGATATAATTTATCTTTATGAGTGACCCCATATTGTCATATATAAATGACAATATAATTAATTATTTGTTCATTACCCACAAAATCCATCAGAATTACAGTTGTATTAGGGACAATATCAATCACCTATACATACATCGGTAAATTTGTAGCATCTTGTCATTTTACGTCCACTTGTTCAGATATTATTGAACTTAGGACATGAAGGAATTAATTCTCATATGTGATGGCATGCTGTGAGCGATAAATAAATAATGACGAGTCTAAGTAGATGTGTTGGAACCCAATATGCAAAGCATATTGAGTGAATCTATGATACCAAGCCTGAGGGGCCTGTTTGAAGTCGTATGTAGATCACTGCATACGATAGACTTGATCTGTAAAATGAGGGTTTAAAAAACTAAGAGTTTGTTTTATATAAAGGGTCACTTCAAGATACCGTCGGAGAAATGAATTATTCATATCCAACTGGTGGATGGGCTAGTACCGAGATATTAGTAAGTATGAGGGTATTATGAATGGTAGCCACTTTATCAACAAATCTTAAGGTCTGGTGGATGGGCTAGTACCGAGATATTAGTAAGTATGAGGGTATTATGAATGGTAGCCACTTTATCAACAAATCTGAAGGTCTGGTCACAGTTGATATACCATGACATGCCTTATATATGGCAAGAGATTTATCTAAATGATGTTTGGGGGGGGGGGGGAATAACCACATAGATCGAACCATATTGACCCTAATGGTGTAGGAACAAAAATCCAAGTTTTGTTCGAGATAATGCATGATATTACTTATTTGTGGTTGTTCTTTAGTTTGGGTGTTGTAATGCATGTAGGTGAGACTGTGGACATGAGATATAGTAAATTGTCAATATCGCTCAATATGTTTGATAATCCCGCTTCAAGCATAGGAATTCATGGAGTGAGTAGGCCAAGGTGGATGAAAATGAGGTGGGGGTTCGATTTGAGCAGTATCCAAGGCAGGGAAGGGAGGTGGAATGGTGGGCGGTGAACGAGAATCAAGAACGTCATGTAACATAAGGGATGGCTCAGAGAGATCTTCTAAGAAGGTGTATGGGACGGGAGAAGTCAGTGTGACTGAGCCAAATAGGAAAATAAATACATCAAATACAACATGTTGATAGATAACAATGCGATAGGAGGATACATCTTGGCAACGATATTCCCAATGATGAGAATGGTATCCTAAAAGACACAGTGGATGGTGTCTAGTTTTAATTTTTGAGAGATAGTGATACGACAAAAGAAAAAACATCAAAAAGTTTAAAGATGGTTGTGTATTGGGTGTTTTTGAAATAGGAAAAAATTAGGGGTTTCATTTTGGATGCAGATTGATGGTAAGATAATAAGGAGACGTGTCGCCATATGAAGGGATTCCACCCAATATGTATGAGGAATGTGCATGAGAGTAGAATGAAAGAGTGTGCACCATATTGTTGAAGGTATGAAACATGCGTTTGGATTTCCTGTTTTGTTGGGAGGTGTAAGGACATGAGAAACAAAATTGAGTTCCATTGGTGGAATATAGTTTATGAAAATTTTTATTATTATATGTACCTTCGTGGTCGCATTGGAAAGATCTCATGGTTGTTTGAAATTGTGTTTTGACATATTGAAACTAATTCAATTAATTTGGCAAAGACATCATATTTTTGTCTTAATGGAAAGCCCAAAGATAACATGTGTGGTGATCCAAAAAAAACTACATAATATCAAAAACCACTAACACTAACATTTGGTCCATATATCATAGTGAATTATTCTAAACATATGTGAAACATACAACCTGAAATAACAAACGGAAGCTTTGTGTGCTTTTCGAAATGACATGATTGACAAAATTTATGAAATACCATTAGTACAAGAAATAAATGTATTTAAAACTATAGACTTCAAAACTTGGTCACGAAGATAGCCTAATCTTTGGTCTCATGCGGAAGGACTCGAGGAGACAAACTCTTGCAGAGTGGAAGGAGTGACTAGATAAAAATGGCCATTACAGTCGCATCAAAGTAGTGGTCAGTGTGTCCAGTAATCCGTGAAAATAAACCCCAAATCATCAAATTCAATATAGCATTTATCGTGTTTAATGAATTGATAACCATATATAATGTTTTTAATAATAGAGGGTGTGATAAGGAGAATATTGAGGTATAGGGGATGATATAGATTTATGCATGGAAAAGATGTGTGTCCGGTCATGACTACATGCATGAAAGAACCATTACCAACTAGGACCAAATGAGTATCTAGTTTATTAAGATCAATATTTAGTATACCTGCATTTACATGTACATCATTGGTTGCCCCAATGTCCATGAACCATTTGTTTGTACTTGAGACGTCATTTAAAGACTTAGTGTTGAAGAATTCACGGAAAGCTGGTGAGTTGCCCTTTTTTGGACCAAGACCATGGGTTTACTATTGTGTTTGAGTCAGAATAATCAGAACCGACCATATGAGTCGACGAAGTGTTGTTGTCTAAAAGTTCGTGGTAGGTGGAGTAGGTTTGGCCCATTATGTTGATGTCAAGAAGGGTGTCATTCAGCCCATCAACTTGTTGTTACCACTATAACGACTGTTGTGGGTGAGGTTGTTGTCGACTATTTAATGGTAGGACAAAAATCCATCCATAGGGCTGGTTCATGGTGGCTGACGGTTGGAGCTACTAGTGACGTTGCTACTATTGTTGGAAATAGTTGTTTCCATGTCTGTTTCCTCGGTTTTAAGAGTTACTTCCATGTGATTCACAAGTGTTTCTGGCATGTAAAATGATAGGCAGTGAGGATTTTTCGATGTGATTTGTGTTGTTAATGAGCGAGGATCAGACACCCATTGTTCTTCCATAATGAGCATTGATCGAGTCTTTACAAATATGGGAAGCGAGGAGTGGTACCATATGATGTTGGCTAACGAATTAAACTTGGATTATAAGTTATTTATCGAGTAAACCAAGTGTTTGTCAGGAATTGCATATTTCAGGCTAAGATTGGCAAGCAAATCCACTAAAACTTTGATTTTGGTGTAGTAGGAAGAGACTAAGAGGTCACCTACCCATGACGATGCCGGAGGTCGCTTGTAACGCCCCAATTTTCACAACAAAAATTTCAATTTTAATCTCATATAAAAGGAACCATTTGTTAAGTAATATTATAAAAACCATTTGTTTTAAAAGTCTATATTCCAAATCAGAGTATGATCATAAGCGCGAAATCACAAATAATAGAATTTGTTGATGTGTGTACAGTCACGCCTTCGCCTTCCCACGAACTGATAAAGTACCAGAAAAAAATTAATCTACAACTGTAAGCCAAAACTTGGCGAGTTCCCCAAAATATCCAACATAACAATACACATACAATGCATGCACACACGAGCCTACAGTCTGATTGGACCACCTCGCAAGGCCTACATTACACCTAGACCACTCTCCTTGGGCCTACAGTTTGTCTAGACCACCTCGCGCGACCTACAGTACACCTGGACCGCTCGGGTCTCTTGGCCTACAACACAAGCTGGATCGTCTCAACCCAACCAAAATATGTCGACATATGTAAATAGACAAACAATAACCATCAAACACAGATAATCATAACATATCTACCAGACAAACAGATCACTACAACATAACAACATCCTACACACAAGGATACATACTACAATACAAAGTATAGTGAGAAATCTCACCTAAGACAACAAACACAGAATAAAACCACATAAGTATATAAGATTGGTTTCCAGCTCTTAGGACACATACAATCACATAAATAATCCTTACAGATATTACATATTGATACTTTATAATATACTTCTTATTCACTTGTATTATCGTAGTAGCAATTGATTTTGTGGGTCATTAAACCTCACTCAACCCCCAAACCCATTAAAGATTGATTTTAATTCTTATAATACATTTCCTTAGCTTTTCATAATGTAGGACACATTCTCTAGTTAGTTTTCTATTAAACTCCAAAGATTGCACATGTTGATTATAAGATTCGTCCCCTTTTTCTGAAGCAATAAGGGAAAATGGTCATCAGCACTGAGAAACATTCCATTGAAAAATTATATGACAAAGTAGACCCT